ATCGGTCTCCTCGACGCTCTTTCTCGTTTGGTGCGGTAGCTGGTCTTTCTTTCTATCATTTTGTTTCTCTTCCGAGTGCTTTTTGTACCCTATTTTTTTCTGTTTCTTCGTGGGGTCGTGTATGCCGGGTTTTGAGACCACGGGCTCCCAATCTTTTTTTTTTAGAGCTAATGTGAGAAACAACAACAACAACAACAAACAACTGCTGAGCCCCCTTTTGAGCATATCTCCGCAACCACTTATTATCGCATTTGACCGTCGAAAGGCTTGTATGATTGGTGTGGGTCATAGCTACACAACGCAATTTATTTTGTGCCAATTGAAGCTCTGTGGGCTGAGATACGGGCGGTGACGTATATAAGAAATAACGCCACCGGTGACGTAAATAGAATTCTCTTTTTTTTTTGCCTCTTCAGGCACACTGTTTGTGCGCATGGTCCTTAACCATAGCCCAGGGTATTCTTTGGGACGAGCTATCATCGACAACGACATGCAACAACGGCCGACTCCAATATAAAAAATGCGGAAGACACCGATAACTCACTTCCTCTGTTGACGGAGCTCCCCCGTCCCACGCCCGAAAAGATCCCTCCCACGCGGGAGCAGCCCTGTCGCCACTGCCGCCGCCGATACCGCCATCACCACTGCTTCCGCCAGTGTGGTGTTGCCTGATCTTTGAGCGACTGGTAGGCCTCCGTCTCTCGGTCTCTTTGGTCGTCGTTGGTCTGGCGGCCTGGTCAAGGGACTCAACACCGACACCATCTGGCGCCCCTGACAGCACACATATACCTGCGGCGCTTGCCCTTCCTCCTCTATGCCAACCTTCTTCATTGAATACTTGTTTCGCTCTGCAGGTAGCGCCCCGGGCTTTATTGTTGCGTCGCGGCGTAGCGACCCCATTTCCGTCAACCGTCGAAACGTCACCGACTTCGCTTTCGTCCCCACTGCTGTTTTCATTTGTGAAGCGGCCTCCACCATCACCTTTCCCACCACCTTCAATGGCTTCTTCGGTGCCTTGCCTTCCCGGTGCTTGTGCTTTCCCTCGCCGATGCATGCCCTCTCGACGCCTACTCGCGCTACCATTAGTTGTGTTGTTTCCTGTAGCATCAGGCGCTGGCGAGTGGGGCCGTTCTGAGGGCCCCCGAATGCCGGCAAGGTTGAGCAGATCGGCAACCACCTGTTGTTATAGGGCCCAACAGCGTATGTATGCCGGAGGCGTGCGTTGGTTGAAGCAAGCCTCAACCGTCAAAGTTACACTTGTCTCGCGTATCCCGTTTGCCTTTAGCAAAAATAGGTCGGCCTCTCCCCCCAGTCCACCATCTCCGTCGGAGGGGGAGGGGATCACTGACATGCCCTTGCGGAAACTCATAGGGTGGGACTAGGGGACACCGATAATACTGTTCGTGTGTTTGGATACGGACTGGTTAGATCTACCAAGATAACAGAGGGCACGCAGATGGGGTATATGTACACCTTGAAATGGTTGCATGTGCGGGGACCCCTCGAACTCCAAAGAGGGCTTCACTTCTCGCTACTCCCCTTGCGTGTCTAATACAAGAGATAAAACGTCTTCCCCCCCCCAAGCAAAGGACATATACGAACACACTGTAGTGTCAGTCCCTCGAGGTAGAGTCCATCAGGAATGTCAGGTCGCAAAGATGGGGGTGACTCCTCCAGCGACTCTGCGGCGGAAGACAGAAAGAGGTCAAGAGAAGGGCTCGTGGCCCTGAGGACGCAAGTTAGCTCGCTGACGGATCAGATGAGCCATCTTATGTCGCTAGTGGAAGATACCATGAAGGCACACAAGAAGGAGGAGCCAGCTGGCACCATGGAGGGTGCCGCTGATCGCGGCGATGCTAGGGAGAGCGCCGCCGCGGAGTCCACGAACGCCGAAGGAGGGGCACCGTGGACCGGGAGTGGGCAGGACGGGAGGTACCTGCGCGAACCTGTTCGAGAGTCTGGCCCGTCAGGGCGACACAGCGGCGAAGCAGGGGGCTTTGTCCCCCAAGAGGTGAGAGTAGCCGCTGCTCACAACCAAGATTATAGTAGTGCCATGGGAGATGGTGGTGCTGCTGTTGGCTTTGGATACGGAGCCACAACCCCAGCAATGGGGTACCAAAGTGTGCGGTACACTTCTCCTCCGTTCAGCGGAAAATCGAAANGCGACACAGCGGCGAAGCAGGGGGCTTTGTCCCCCAAGAGGTGAGAAGAGCCGCTGCTCACAACCAAGATTATAGTAGTGCCATGGGAGATGGTGGTGCTGCTGTTGGCTTTGGATACGGAGCCACAACCCCAGCAATGGGGTACCAAAGTGTGCGGTACACTTCTCCTCCGTTCAGCGGGAAATCGAAAGATTTCAACGAATGGCTAAATGATTTCCGCATGGCAGCTAATGGCGCAAACCTGTTTGAACAATTTGAAGAGAGCGAGAGCTTGGAGATCCCCGTCAACAGCGGAAAGGGCAAGTTTTCGCTGTCACAGCAGTACCGGAGCGAGCAAGTAGAGCTCGCATTCTACGTGTGGAACTTCCCGTCTAATGCGTTGAAAGAAAATGATCGGATAATCATGAAGAGGGCAGGGACGCCCCAGGGAGCTCTTCGTGAGCTCAAGACCATACACGACCCTGAATCATCTGTACAGCCGTCAGAGGACCTCAAGTCCCTGACGTCGACCAAGATCTCTAGAGGTGAAAACCCCCAAAACGCCCTAAATGAGATGCTGCAAACCGCAAAGTCCTTAACCGAGAAAGGACTAACTGTCAACGAAACGTTCGTCCTTCACCTCTTCCTGGATGCCCTCTCGGACGAGTATGCCATGACAAAGCACAACCTGCGATACGCGAAGGAGTTGACGCGGACCGGTGTGCTAAAGGAAGTCATGATCGAANCCCTCAAAACGCCCTCAATGAGATGCTCCAAACCGCAAAAGCCCTCAACCGAGAAAGGACTAACTGTCAACGAAACGTTCGTCCTTCACCTCTTCCTGGATGCCCTCTCGGACGAGTATGCCATGACAAAGCACAACCTGCGATACGCGAAGGAGTTGACGCGGACCGGTGTGCTAAAGGAAGTCATGATCGAATACAAGGCGATCAAGGACAAGCTAGAGCAGGGGAAAGGCCAAGGGGCGAAGGGCGCAGAGCAAGCGTACTTCGCCGACGGTGAGGGCCGCAGGGAGCGGTACTCAAGAAGGAGTCAGGGGCAAGGTCTTGGTCGTGGCGGCGGCCGTGGCCGCAGCAGCAGTCGTGTCCGCGGCGGAGGAGATCGCGGCGGCGGCGGCGGTCGCGGCGGCCGCTCAGGCGGATCCGGAGGAGTCGAGGAGAGCAAGGGAAGCAGCAGTGGAGGCGCCGATGGCGGCGGTGGCGGGGACTATAAGTTCCCGGGCCGGTGCTTTAGGTGTGGACATCGTGGACATCAAGCGATCGGCCGCACTACCAACGAGAAGGACTTCGTGACGTGGTGTGCGCGCTGCGAGGGGTGGGGCCACACCAAAGAAAAGTGCGCGACGGAGGAGGCCGTCCTAGCGCAAGTGGTGGGGCATGAGAGCGACGTGGACTCCGTGGAAGACCAGGCGTTTTGTGCCGTGGCAGTCCCCCCAGGCGAGTGTGGTACCGTTGGTGAAATAGGTCTAGTGGGGGTTGTGGAACAAGGCCAGGCGGTGTACGTGGCCGACACAGCGGCCACGTGCTCCATGTTCCGATGTGCAGACAACTTCGTGAACTACCGTGAGCGTAGCGGTTGGGTAAAGGGGATCGGAGGCGACAAGGCCCCCGTTCCTCTCCTAGGATACGGAGGTGTGACCTTTGTCCTACAAACGGAAGATGGTGGAGTACCCGTACCAGTACTGAATGCTGCCCATGTACCAGAGGCCCCCTCCAACCTTCTCTCGCTGTCTTCGTTGGCAGAGGAGGGCCACACGTATTCGGGGATGAAGGGGGGCCTCACGCTGACCAACGGAGGCAACAGGATGATCACAGACACGTAAGGCGACGCGCTCGCCCGCAGGCTCTCCTCCCATGGGCTTGGCGTCGTCTCAGCTGTCCTCACCAATAGCATCATTGCTAAACGGAACAGGGTTATTCCGGATGACCAAGAGGGGCCTCATGTACGAGAGGTACAATGCAGTCTACGAGCCCTAATCCTCAACGCTTTGAAGAAGATGCCTTACGCCAACTACCTCTACGGCACGTCGACCCCAGAGGACACTCCCGCAAAGGCGGTGTTTGCAGAGATGGCCGCTTTTGCAGCTGCAGTCACTGAGATAATGCCCAAGAGCAGCATCGGGCAGTCCGTCGCTCTGAAGAGGAACACCCTGGCGGCAGCCTCTAACAGCATCCGCCGCTAACCTTGAGGTCACTGGGTTCGTCAACGCCTACAAGAGGTACGTTGGATCCATCGCCGCAGAGGAGTTTCTTCCCTTCTAGCCCGCGGGGGTAGCGGTCGTCGGCTGATCATACTTCAACTCCTCTGGGGCGATGGGTCCAACGTACCTCTTGCTGCTGCTGCTGCTGCTGCTGCTGCTGCTGCTGCTGCTGCTGCTGCTGTCGGTGGGGCTGTCACTGCCTCCGCCGAAGTCGCCCCTTCCCGAAGGGGGCGACGGGGGTACGCTGCCTTCGTCCCCCGGAATCCCGTTGCCGGGTGCCGTCGGCGCCTCCTCGCG